TTTTTTTTTTTTTTTATCGATAAAATCATACCGATACCGATTAAAATATGAAGTACTTTAATTTACAATTTCGAAGCTATGTACGTTATTTTTAAAATGACGGAAATTTGAAAGTGACGTCTAACATATATAATCAATTTGATTAAAATTTTTGACTTTTATAAATGATACCTTAGAAAACAAGCAAATCTAATGCTAAATCACTATCATTAAAAATATTTAATCTATTTTACCAAAAATTGATATTCAAAACCAAAATTATTATTCTATCCCAAAAAAAGAGCATCCTGATCTATACTACGTTAATGGATGAACAAATAAAATCAGCCCCAAACAATGGTAGATAATCAAAAAAATTTGGCTATTATTACCAATTTCGGACACCCTTATCAAGAACGTACAATTAACAAGTATTTAAGAGCAGGTGCATTTTTGATAGGGGTGTCCGAAATTGATGGCCAAACCTGTATTATGTTTCTTGCATATTAGACTTGAACTATTAAGTGTGGATATATTTGTCTAGAATCCCGATATTTTTTTTATTTAATACCAAATTATTCGGACATCTCATCAATTTCGTCACCACCCAATCCAAATTTTCTAAGACAAATATTACTTCCATATTCCATGTATTCAGAACGTGTAACTAATCTTTCATTAAATTCAGGCGTGGAAGCGAATTTTCTGCCGCCATGCCATGCATACGTGATAGGGCTATAAATGAATAAAATATCAGTGTAGGTATGTATGGGCATATTTAATCAAAATGATGATTAATAATGAATGATTAATATTATCATTTACTCTTCTGGCATTCCAACTTTAACCTCAAATTCCGATGGGGCAAGGACGCGTAAATCCTTCTCACTAATAAGAGAAAAAAAAAGAAAAAAAAGATACATATATTAGAACAATAAACATACATATCCATGAACGTCCAATGAAAACAAAAGACGTTTGATCATCGACTTACACTCGTTCTTTATATCCAGAAAATAAGCTATTTCCACCTACTAATACGATATTTCCGTAAAATAATCCATGCAAATCTACATCATTTACAGGAAAAGGAAACATTTCTAAACTCAAATTGATGAATATAAGACCCAAATTACTGTCGTCAGTTACCACCAAATAATCCTTTTACTGATAAGAATGATTTTTTGATTTCTTCAAATAGGCTTATTTGTAGCAAGCAACAGCATCCCCCGTCTACCCGATGAAATCAAAACAATCAAAAATAAAACAAATGATACCAGGATGAGTGGCATTAATTGCCTCCACTATCACTTCAGGAATTCCCGCTTGATTCATACCTGTAAAAGAATAATAATAAGAAATGATAATTCTTTAAATTCTGACACACATTAAAATAATTCGCACCGATATCAGATGGGTTAAATAATATTTCAGGTACAGTGAAACGTTCATTATTCATGTATAAAACTTGTTCGTCTGATTGATCATATATTTCCGCACCACGTTTTTTTTCCTTTTAAGATCAGAAGGAGAAACATGTAGATTAAATAGGTCGTATAATGCTAATATTTTACTATGTAGAAAATGGTCATACCCTAATGTATCCCTTGGTATTCCTTGAAAAATCTGGAAGCACATATTCTTGAAGAATCGGATTATCTCTTGTATTTTTTCTGTATATATATTATATCAATCGATTAGATTTTTTTATGAATAAATTCATGATTACAAATTTAGAAATAAAGAATGTTCCTACCTACATGTTTCGAGATCTGCCAAAAAATCATGGGAAACGTAACAGCATGTTTCTTTGACCTCATTCATTACATAAGTTTGATCCATCATATCCCAATATCTAAATTTTGTCCAGAATATATGAGAATAGCTAATTTAAGAAGATTGAATTATAATGCAACATACCGAAATGACACAATTTCTTTAAGATGATTAGTTAATAATTTTCCACCAATATTGATCCTATAATGAAAAAAAGAAAAATCAAATTTAATTATATTAATTATACAGAAATAGTAAATATTATAAGTAATAAATGATTAATAGACCTTCGAATAGCAGGAAGGATTGGCCGACCCATGACAAAAGGGACAATATGAGTAAAAGAATATCCAGAATCAACTACTAAAACACAATCCGGAGGTTCGGCAAGGTTTTGTGGCCTATTGGGATAAAGACTTGAGGTATCATTTTGGATGCATAACCATGGAGCTATATAAAAATTGAGTAAAGGGTAATATGCTAAAGGATAACTCTCATAAAATTATAAAAAAAGGTTTAAAAGATTACCGATTGTTCGACAATATGATTGAAATTCATATACTTCAAAAATCATTTCATCATAAGTTCTTTGAATATTTGGCAAATTAAAACATGGTTCCGTAATAAGAAGGCTTGTTTTTTGTGGGTCGCACTATAAATTAAATTTGATGTTTTTTTTTTTTTTTATTAATTGAATTACAAAGTTAATCTAATAAAATGTATTTATCACGTACATCAAGTACATCCTTTGAAAATATTCTATCCCAAATTCCTTTTTCAACCTCCCAATTCGTAAGAAACCCCTATTAATAAAGTATTCATTCATTTAATACGGAACATAAGTAATGTATAAATTAACACGTTCATAAGTTCAATTGAACAAATGATACAAACTTTTTCAAAAGGTAGTCTATAATATAACCCGGAAAAATCAGTGCAAGAACTGAATTGATCACCTATATAAGTTTTTTTATCACCCTTGCCGCGTGTTACTTTACAGTTAGGAATAATTCTGCGAAAAGTAATTGTTGATATATAAAAAAAAAAAATTAATAGGAACTAAAAGATTACATTTTGGAAGTTTATTACTTTGGCTGTTGTGAAAGGATTGCATATCCAGCTTTGATAGTGCTAGCACCATTATCAAGCACTAACACTTTTCTTTCTGTCATGTCTTTTTTTTGAATTCAAAAAACCATCCTCGCGTTACATATGGGCCAATTTTTTTGATTTCTGTAGATCCTTGTCTATCAAAACACTCAAAATTGCCTTATTTGGGTTTAA